TCAGTTGGTCCAGCATGAAAAATCTCAACATCTATTGAATGTATTGATCTGGCGTTGACAACAGATGCATGGTGGATGCATTTAAATGACTTGTGATCCCCTGACCTTTCCTATAGCACCACCGATAGGTTCCAAATTCCACTTATTCAGTGAAACATTTCCATGTCCACTGGATGGTTTGGCAAAAATGTGATACAAACATTCATGGTCCACAGATGATTCATGCTATTGACTTTGATGATCTATTGAATTTTGACTTAGACTTTTCCATAAACCTAAAGTCCCACCATTAAGTTTACACATACGGTCTTAAAAGAAATGTCTGTCCATGCCATGAAATGTAGGCCTATAATTCACTTACCCTTCAACATAATTTGTTTCCCTTTAATGATCTTTCACTTCTTACTCCACCACTTGGTCAACATTGTACCTAGTCCAATATCTTGGTTTATGACCAATAACCGGAAAAGCTAGTGACATTCCCAACAGTAGGCCTATTACCTTTGTGTTTTGTGCTACTCGCAAAACGTTAGCATGCTAACATGCTAAAATAAGACGAGGAACCTGCTTAGCATCGGCATGTTAGCATTATCATTACAAGCTAGCTTAAGTTAGAATCAAGCAATGAGTATAATAAGAATTTCCAGGAGTCATATAATCGCAGAGTTAAAACAGTTTTGACGCTAATGTAGCTACATTGTAGAACGTTGAGTTCTACGATTCAGCTGTAAAACAGAATGTATGTTTTTGGCATGTTTTTAAGAAAGTGTGAGTACGTTTCGTTTTACATGTTTCCGATTAAAATGTGCCCTACTAATGCACTCTGCACAGGCACAACTGTTACCCTTTGGGACTGTTTACATTCACAGTGCCTGCTAAATGTTGATGGAGAAATATTGTGAAACAATTAATATTTTTATACTATTGTTTTTGTAATCTATTTAGTATTCTATTTATGAGCTTTTTATATTATATGACATGGTAAGATGCAGGCATCTCACTTTTTTCTATGGGTTATCTATGTATTATTTAATAATATTATTAATAAAGTATTGTCAGACTGTAGTTCATTTACAGTATTATTTATACATTTTGTATGTTTTCTTTTTGTAAGTTTAGTCATTAATAAAGTTCGACACTTGAAACAGAAATCTGACTGCTCCATGGTGATTTTCTGTACTTCTTTATTTATCACACTTTACACTCACTTCACCAATGATTTAATCCAAAACCTAAATAACTGTGAGGTTGAAACTTATTTACTTATTGGTTGAAATGAACCAAGGCAAGAATAAAAAAAAGATTTAATTTAATTTGGAAGTTAAAAGGGATTTCCTTTTGTTGCTAGTAAGTAATCTGTAAATCAAATAAATGAATAGGTAACTCGCCTTTTTGTCAACATTTTGAGCTGGAAAGCACAGGTGTTACTAATCTGACTAACGATGCCTCTTTTCTACCCAGGTGTCCGATTAAGCAATGAGAGAGTGACTGTTAGCCACCATGCAGGAACACAAATTCAGACATCATTAAATACATTATTTTTGCCTGTGCTTTTTCTGTACTTTAACAGAATGCCTTGTGTGAAAAAACCCACAAAAAAACCAATATGTGTGTCCGTGCCTTACAAACTCTACTCAGTAACCATTACCAAGAAATAAGCCACAATCATGTTTAACATTTAGATGTAAGAAATACTTGGGTAGGGAGAGATAATGGTCATAAAATGAATACACCAACACTGACCTTTGATACAAAACAGTGTGCATAGAGAAATGTCACTCTTTGTTGTCTAACGTGATCTCGTCCCAAAATAAAAAACACTTTGTTTTCTCTGTTTGTGTTGTTATGCATTTGCTTTGCATTTTAACAACTTGTACATGAACTGTACCCACTATAGATGAGAGCAGCATGTCAGTGCCTTGCGGATTAAATGGCTCCCCCCACTTTCCAGTGAAAACTTGGAATTGGTCCCAAATGGGAAAAATGGTTTAATCATGCCTAAAAGCTGCTGTGTCATATTGCACTTCAAACAACAAAATTCCAAAGTTCAGATGTTCTATACTTTTCTTTAGAAAAAAAGGGAAAGAAAAGAAGAGTCCAACATAAACAAAGTCTTATCCAACAATACATTAATTATATATGTTTACAGTACTTTATATTAAAGGCATCTGGATTTGAAAAACTGGTTTCAAACCCATCACATCTAGTCAACTGTGATCTTGTAAAACCTGTGTTCCCATACAACAAAACTGCATTGTCATTTCTAGCTGCTGTGAAGTTTTTTTTTTGTTGTGTTTCAATTTAAAGCAGTGACCACATGTTTACAACTGTAACCAAAGTCTGGAGAAAAAAAATCCCTCCGAATGTAATGGAGAATGAAAAAAGTTGTATGGGAACATAATGACGCTGGAGGCGGCTCTCTGCTTTCATGTGATTATAGGGCAATAACAAACCCATAAAACTAAGCGTTACTGACACTGTCTGCCCGAGCAGCTGCCTCTCCTCGAACAAACGATACATTATTACTAACGCTCCACATCTGCAGCTGCAATGCAAACACTCATCCAATCCAATCCAATCCACTTTATTTATTTAGCACATTAAAAACATAGGGTTTACCGAAGTGCTTCACAGCAAAGATAGACATTATAATAAAATATAATATTACAATAATAGATCAAAGGCACACATAAGAATAGATAAAAGGCACATAAAGGCTGGACAGACAATAAAAGCACAAAAATCGATCAAACATAATAGCTCAAACTGACTCGAAAGCGAATGAAAAGAGGTGGGTCTGCAGACTGGACTTAAAAGTTTGAAGGGTGGGCGACATGGGGCGGCAGGTCGTTCCAGAACCTGGGGGCTACCGCTGAGAAGGCTCGGTCTGGTCTTCTTCTTGGTTTTTGGGACTAGCAGCCGCAGCTGATCAGCCGACCTCAAAGCCCTTGAGGGGATGTACACCTTTAGGAGGTCGGAGATGAACAGATGGGCCATCCCATTGAGCGATTTAAAAACAAACAATAAAATCTTAAAATGAACTCATAAACTCATAAGTCACTGAGGTTAAAGGCCTCCACACAAGGCCGACCACTGGCGTTCAGCTGTGCCCTGTGTGAGCGACATGGAGTTACACAAAGTGACTTGCACAATGTCAGCATGTTGACATGTGGGAGACAGATGATCTCACACACAGGCGGACTTTCGCTGTAACCAATGCCAGCCTCTCGGGAAGTCTGAGTGATCCTGCAGTTGCACGGACTGCGGTAACAAGTAGCAGCTGAGAGTTTCATCTGCAAACCACGTGGGGTCTGAGTAGAGGAACATTTTTTGACTGTAAATAGAGAGAGAGGGAAAACAAGCTTTGTATACAGAGAGGGAAAGAGAGTGATATGCAATACAGAGATTTGTTGATTGACAGATCAACAGCTAAATAATGTCTGGATGCCCCTCTCTACATATTTCCCCAGGCAAACATGTTATGTTGTTCTTCGACCTGCTGCCAGAGGACAGTGTTTCCTGCAGCTTGTAGTTAAACCACAGCTGAGCAGATGATATTCTACTAGAAATAGTGTGAAGACAGACCCAGGGTGAATTTCTTTTGCTGTTCTGATCAGAGTTCCTCCAAATAACAATGCATTTTTCATCAAAATGTTTGTATAATTGCCTACGCCAATGGAACTAAGCGTAGCGTAGGATTTATTTGTTTATGTTTATTGTTAAAGAAATGTCACCAGAATTTGTGCCATCGAAAGTAAATCTATGTTGTGTTATAGGCAATATAACCACTTTGACAACGCTCTCCTCACCTAAAGTAGGTTAGTCATTTTTACCCGAATCATAATGCTAATTAGTTAATTTTCAGCCTAAACCAACTACCAAACCTCAACCATAGTGTTGTAACCAGGCCCGGTTCTAAGGGGGTGCATAAGGGTGAAAAAAAAGAAAAGTGAAAAATATTACATGTACAATAACAATAATAATAATAGTATTAGTAATAATAATAATAATAATAAGAAGAAGAAGAAGAAGAAGAAGAAGAAGAAGAAGAAGAAGAAGAAGAAGAAGAATATATTTGAAATAAAAATAAATTGTAATTGTGGTTAAATAACATTGTCTGCTGCATTTATTTGGTCAATTTAAACGGTAAGTAACGTTATTATGTCAGGTGAGCGTGACGTGTGCCGCTGCACGTTCGTCATCTGCAAGGTGCTTACACAGCAGTCAGTGATGGAACTCAGAAAATGGTCAAAACAACCAGCCCTTATCGCCAGCAGTAACACTGCATCTACTGCATATAATAACAGTTCAGATCATGGGGACATCAAGTTATTAAGTGGCCACTGTCATGGACAGTAACGCCCGACTCGCCGGCTTTGCCCGCCTCGCCCACGGAGGCGGAGCAGCCGCAGCCGTCTTCGTTGCCCCAAACACCGCCACCCCTCAGCGGCCCGCAAGTGTCAGAGGACATCGGCAAAACAGAGCCTGCACAGGTATATTTAAAAAAGTACCCAACTCGCCTGTACAGTGGGGTAAGGCGTTCATTTTGCAGCTCATGCTTTAAAAACAGAGATTGGCTGGAATATTCATGTAAAAAAGATGCCATCTTCTGCTATACATTTCGGTTCAAGTAAGTCAGATGCCTTCACCACGACTGTACAAGAGTACCAACCGCTGTCTCCAGGTACTCATCTGAGTAACTCACTCACTAAAAAGGAAATACTATATGACAGTAAGTGCACCAGATAGATGCTTTTAACTTCAATATTTAAAAAATAAATAAAATCCCGG